TATTCAAAATACTGTTTCCACATGTAAGCAATATTTTAAAAAATACAATTAATGAGATATTTTTACCTTTTTGTACTAAGTCTTCAAAATCCAAAGATGTTTTACACATATGGCATATATCAGGTCATACTGACCATTTTCTAAGTGATCAACAGTGACACGTAGCAAGTGGCTCCTGCATTGAACAACCAAGGTATAAGGGGTGGATGTAGTTAAGTTCCCCCATTCTGATACTTCTCCTCCTTCCCACCCTGCAGTTTTAAAAACCGGTGCTATTTAAACCAACCTGAGCAAGAATATCATAGGCCACTTGTTACACATACAGATTCCTCGAGCCCCATGCCAGACCCACTGAACCAGATTCTTTTGGAAGCTGTGTTCTTAACCTGTTCTTGCTAACACATCATAGAGGGGCATTAAATATTTGTTGCATGGGGCGGAGGGTAAACCCACAACTAAAGGACACGGAGCATTATAGGGGGGGAAGGGCATGCCTCTAACCCTCGCTTGGGTGAGGCAAAGACATAAAATGTACCCTCCTAATACCCTGAAATAAAAATAAATAAATATTTGATGCATAAAACTTTTTAGCCAAAAGAGTCTTTTATATCTGACCAGGTGGTCATCTCAATTAAATCTTTTGTTAATGTATACTATTTACATGAAATCTAAAAACAACTTTCCATATCACTTAGAGGTATATGTTTCTTTATAAATCTGTGATACACTTTCTAAGATTGGCATTCATCAGTATCTGAATTGACTATTAAATATTTATTAGCCAAGGGGAATAAACAGCTTACTCTGGTTTTTCTTCCCCACTTCAGGTTATCAAGTGTAAGGCTGCAGTTGCCTGGGAGGCTGGAAAGCCTCTCTCCATAGAGGAGATAGAGGTGGCACCCCCAAAGGCTCATGAAGTTCGAATTAAGGTAATGACACACTTAAGGCACCGGAACAAAAAGACTTACAATTAGGTCTCTGGATAGGTGAGTAGATCCGAGGTCTGCAGAGGAGAAATCCCAAGGCACATTGTCAAGGAGAAGGGACTGAAAGCCAACTGGCCTAAGAATCACGACATCCTCCTCTTACCCCTCTCACCTTTGCAGCACTCCTCTCTATCTTTTCAGCTTTGATCTGGGGCTGAGCAGCCGTACCCATGGATCGGTGGTTTACTGCAATTTCTCTTCTGTAGTCTGAGTTTAAGGTGACTTTGTACGATGCTCCTCTTTCTGCTGATCCTCAACCTTTAAATGCAGTAACAGGTTAGGAAAAAAAGAAGAAGTGGTCTTCAGTTCTGTTAGAAGGGACTTCAAATGAGATTTGGGAAGAGGTTCCTGATTGACTAGAACAACAAGCCAGCGAAGTCTCCTTGCTTAGAGAGCCTAACAATATACTGAGCCTGGGGGACGAGGCCCAGGATCGGGGGATTCATTTTTCCAGTGCTTCTCAACCTCCACTGTAAGATGCAGTTAGCCCTGGAGAGAGCCGTATTACACACAAGGCAGCCAGCTGGAGATACCTTTGAAGCCCCGACATTTATAAAACTTCTTGTTTTTAGCATTCTGCTTTCTACTCGTTTTGATATAAAATCAATGCTTTATGGTAGTGACTGTCACAACAAATGTTCTAGGAAAATGTTATGTTCTAGGAAGAGTCACAGCTCTTCTTTGGTGCGACTTTGAGTGAACTTCCCCCCGTCCCACCTGCAAATACACAAAACACACACTGGCTCGTGCTCCCAAGGATCACACTTACGATGTGGAGCAGCGCGGGACCAAACGACTTTCCAAGGTCCTTTACAGCCCAGACCCAGAAATCTGAATTGTTAAATAATAGTTTGTTTTTCTTCAAGGCCAGAAATTAAGCTGATTGTGACTTTACCACTGAAGAAGAAAATGTTTGTCCTGGATTTACTGAGATGAGCTACACGGGGCACAGCGAGTTCTGCTGTCTTCCCTGAAAACTGCTGGCAGATAGCAAGGAATGTTCAGAATATAGGCCCGAAGCAGAGAAGCATGAACACAAACACTCCAGATTTTGCCTTTGTGCCCTTTTGATAGTTTGGAAAGATGTGATACTTGAAAGCCAGAGAGAGAGGGATAAAGGGCTTATTTAAATAGAAATTGCGTGCAGTTCCTACAAAAGGGAGCGGGTTCTACTGAAAGCTCTGACTTTTGGCCCAGACTCAAGCAGACTGGCGCATTTCAGAAATCGTCAATACCTTTTTAAAATCCCAGTTCCCAGCAGTCACGAGGGAAGCCAGCAATGAAATGGCTTCCACCTGTCTCGCACTCAGGTAGTGTTCCTCTTCACACCTGAGGGCACAGTGCCCACAAAATCACCTTGTTTACCCTCCCTGGCTCACGTGCACTGAAAAGGAGAACAAAGGTGCCATGTGTCATTGTATGTAAATGCACCATTTCTATTACACACTCCTACAAATACGCTGCCAATTACAATTGCTAAGATGGCACGGATTGCAAGCACAGGTTGATTTTAAAGAGGTTAAAATAAGAAAGAAACGTATCTTAGAGTCAATGAAATATGGTGTTAAAGTAAAATGCCTTTCCTTGGACCTTGACCCCACTCTGAATTGCACGCGTACGCGCTTAAATGCCCATTGTTTTAACGTCCCGGCAGATCCTTGCCACTGCGGTGTGTCACACCGACGCCTATACGCTGAGTGGGGCTGATCCCGAGGGGTGTTTCCCAGTGATTTTGGGACACGAAGGTGCTGGAATTGTGGAAAGTGTTGGCGAAGGAGTTACTAAGCTGAAAGCAGGTAAGAGGAATATTTGGAACACTCATTTGATGATTTCGGCTTAGTCCTGTAGGGAAATAATTTTTCTGATAAACTGCCACATTGTTTATTTAGGAGCAGGTTATCGCCTAACTAGGTTGTGAAGATTGACTGTTTTCCTCATCCGGGAAACAGAAATATTTGAGTATTTGTTTTTCTCTCTGTTTTTGCAGACGGTTGTTCATCTGACACTATATGAATACATTTTCAAAGCCAGTTTTGGCAAATGAAGCAAGACTTTTTAGAGATGCATGAGGGAGTCAGGATTTTCAAGCAGGTGACCTTGTTCTCCAGTTAGGTTTTAAGAGTTTCATTTAGATAAGAATTCGAAACATACTTTTAGCATGGTCCAAGTTCTAAGACTTGAAGTTCACTTGAAGTTGCAAAGCCACATCAGCTGACAGGAAGGAGACTTTGCAAGGGCCGGTGTGTTCATTTGGAAACAGACACTGCCTATTCAGTATGTCTTTGCATCTCTTTCCCAGGTGACACAGTCATCCCGCTTTACATCCCACAGTGTGGAGAATGCAAATTTTGTCTGCATCCTAATACGAACCTTTGCCAGAAGATAAGGTTAGTATCTATTTCATTCGTGAAACAAGACGTCATATTGACGGTGATGATAAGTGATCGTGTGGCAGTTTATACCGTGCATTTTACATCAATGATTTCATTCCATCTGTATGACAACCTCATTCGCTATCACTACTACTGGTATTCTCCTTTTCATACGTGAGAAAATTAAGACTCAGAAATTACAGGTTTGCCCAGTATTGCTAGTTCTTAACTTGTAAAACAGAATTTTCTGAACCCCTTCTCTTTCCGTAACACTGGGCCGAATTAGCCAGACTGTGTAGTAAGGAAAGACATGCTTGTCAGATGAAATGAAATCCTTTGTATGACCCATTTTATTGTTCATTAAATCAAAGTAATAAACCTTAACCTCATAAGGTTATTAGGAAGACTACAAGAGATAACCTAACCCCTTGACGCAGAAAAAGTAGATATTTTTATGGTAGAAGCGTAACACCACCGAAAGAATCATCTCTTTGAGGCAATTGAAGATGCCTTCGTGTTTGTTTCCTTTTTTTGTTTCCTGTTTTGAGGTGCAACATGCATACGGTAAAGCACTTACAGGCGTCCATATCTTAGGTGTGCAGCCCAGTGAATTTTATGTGTATCCGCACCTGCTGGTTGGAACCGTCACCAGATCAAGATAATGAACCCTGCCGGTAGCCCACAAAGTCCCTCGTGTCCCTTCTAAGTCAACACTTGCCTCCTTCAGGGAAAACCACTGCTCTGATGCCTTTCACCGTAGACCTTTGTGTGGACAGAATCACGTGGCATGTGCTCTTTTGTCAGGTTCTTGCATCGTGACGTCTGCAAGGTGTATCCAGGTTGCACGTGCGTCAGTATTCTTTTTGGTTGCTGTGTCTTACCCCATTCCAAACACCACTGTTTCTCCATTTTCCTGTGGTGGGACATTTTTTTTTTTTTTTTGAGACAGAGTCTGGCTCTGTTGCCCGGGCTAGAGTGCCATGGCGTCATCCTAGCTCACAGCAACCTCAAACTCCTGGGCCCAAGCGATCCT